AGAAATGAGCAAAAATGGGACGGAAAACATGAAATTTTGGCATAATCTTGCACCTAAATGTGTGATATTCAAATTTCGCTTTCTGGGTCAAAACTACTCGAATTTCCTCACTCATGTTGTTACGACTGAATCGACTTTTCAAGTCTCTATCCAACGACGCCAAAACGAATTCTGTGGCTCGAATGGTTCTTGAGAAACTTCGAATAAAGGCCATTCAGTTATCTCCAGAATGATGTAAAAACGAGTGTTCTTGCTCATTTTGCTTCCGAGAAATATGCAAAACGGGACGGAAAACATGAAATTTTGCAATAATCTTGCGCCATCCTTGCACGAAACGACGACCATTTTTCTAATTTCATAGATAACAGAAAACTGTATTTTTTCTACATAACCCCCCCCTGACTTTAAAGCTGGATCCGCCCTTGTAGTTTAGACGCTGTAGCCTTTGAATCATCGAGCATTAGAGAATGATTGAGTAGGTGGCACCACACTCGGTCAAAACCAAAAAACCAAAAGGCAAAAAAAAGAAAAAAGACATAAAAGCTACTAAAGGCGAAACTGAAGAGCCAAATGAAGAAGGATCAGTGGGGAGCTGCAAGAAAACCGTGCTAAAAAAAGTGACAATAGCAAGCTTTTATTGTGAGCTGAAAAGTCTCAACTGGAGTGATGAGACTGAAGATTTCTACTGGGCGGACCACCCAGATTTGGGAGAAAAGGCAATCCGAGTGGAAGGGTCGTTAAAGGTACCTTTTTGACATGAAAATCACATCAAAGCCAATCTTTATTACCATCTCATAGGCTATAGATTATGACTTGAATGCTTCGACCAAGACCAGAAAATTAGCTTCGGGAAGAACTGAAGCCGAAGGCTCACTTAAAGAGCATCTGCCTAACGTGCTCACTTGTCAAGTTGGATTCGGGGTAGCCAGAATTTAAAAAATAATGCACCTTTAGCATTCGGAATGTAAATCACTTGAACGTCATTAAGCTTAATGAGTGTACTTTCCATAGAAATAGATAATTAAGTAGGCTTGGGCTTGAAGGCATAAGTTGCGTTGTAATAATTTAAATAGCGGAGCAAACAAAAACTCTTCGCTGGTTTTTCGGCAAGCAACACAATTGCAGCTATGTATAAACCATTTTAATTATCATTTAGCCTTTGACCTCGATTAGATAAGGACGGTTCGTTAACGGGCCCACATCTTACAGATTTAGTGTGCTTTTTTGGTTGTTCCTATCAAAATGGGCACGCGATTCACCATTAACTTGCTGAAAAATGTTGCAAAAAACCACGCAAACCAGCACAGATCAGTGTCCCAGTTTTATCCTATCGATGAGCACATTTTTGGATTAACACCCGAACAGATCCAGGTATTAGCCGAGTAAATGCTGTTGAAAAGGTTGTTGGATTTGCCAATAGTTTCTAGCTCAGGGAAACCATTTTCAACTTCGCTCAGAAGGAACTGGCCCCCAAGGCTTTGGAGATAGACAAAAATAATCAGTTTGAGGGGATGAGGGATTTTTGGAGGAAACTGGGTGATCTTGGAGCGCTAGGTGAGTAAGAATTAGAAAAAAGTTAAAGGAGGTAGAAACATCTTTATCATTCTTGATTGTTTTAGATAAGCGTCCATGGCTGGTTTTATGCTTTAAAAAATCCATTGTTTGCAGGTATTACTGCTCAAAGTGAATATGGAGGCACCGATGGAGGTTATTTAGACCAAGTGATAATCACGGAAGAACTATCTAGAGCATGTTCGGCTGTCGCTTTGTCTTACATCGCCCATTCAAATTTATGCGTCGGGCAGATCCATAGGAATTGCAACCGAGATCAAGGGAAGAAGTATTTACCCAAAGTAAGTGGCGATTATTCGACGCACCAAAGGCTTCAAAGAGTGTTTTCTAAACAGCTATGTACAGGCGCGCATATTGGCGGGCTCGCAATGTCCGAACCAAATTCCGGATCAGATGTGGTGTCTCTGCGGTTACGAGCAGAGAAGAAAGGTGATCATTACGTTTTAAATGGGACAAAGTTCTGGATCACCAACGGCCCGGATGCTGATGTATTTGTGGTGAGAAAACGCTACTTAGTGCAAGGGCGGATCCAGGGGGGCGGGGGGTCATTACCCCCCATTCAATTCTTTATCCAACGATGCCAAAACGAATTCTCTGGCTCAAATGGTTCTTGAGAAACTTCGAAAAAAGCAGCGTCATGTTCAAGTGGATTTTGCGACTCAAAAAAAACCACGCAAATCTGAAACTTCTTGAATTCAAGCCTTCTTTGAGAAAACTGCCCACATTTCCCCATCCATGGTTCACTTTCTAAAAAGGCCATTTATTTATCTCTAGAATGATGTGCAAATGAGCGTTCTTGCTCATGTTGCCTCCGAGATATGAGCAAAAACGGGACGGAAAACATGAAATTTTGGCATAATCCTGAACCTAAGTGTTTGATATTCAAATTTCGCTTTCTGGGTCAAAACTGCTCGAATTTCCTCACTAAGGTTGTTACGACTGAATCGAGTTTTCAATTCTCTATCCAACGATGCCAAAACGAATTCTGTGGCTCGAATGGTTCTTGAGAAACTTCGAATAAA